AGGGGAAACATAACCCCCGTTTTTAAAAAAGGAAAAAAGCCTGGAGAGGAGAAGGCTCCAGGCAGACCTTAGAGCAGCCTTGCAGTACCTAAAGGGGCCGACAAGAAAGCTGGGGAGGGACTTTGTACAAGGGCGTGTAGGGTCAGGACAAGGGGCAATGGCTTTAAACTGGAAGAGGGAAGATTTAGATTAGCTATAAGGCAGAAATTCTTCCCGGTGAGGGTGGTGAGGCAGTGGCAGCGGTTGCCCAGAGAAGCTGTGGCTGCCCCATCCCTGGAAGTGTTCAAGGCCAGGTTGGATGGGGCTGTGAGCAACCTGGTCTGGTGGGAGGTGTCCCACGGCAGGGGGTTGGAACTGGGTGGGCTTTAAGGTCCCTTCCAACCCAAACCATTCTGTGATCTTGCCAGGTGGCTGAACCCCCATAAACCCTGCCTGTGTTTACATGGAGGTACCCTGGGATGCCAATCCAGCTGCACTAGGGGTGGGATTTCTAAGTGGATTAGCTAATCTGCCTTTAATCCTCTGCAGACACTTGCATCTGGGTTTAAAATGACTATCCATTTATCTGAGCCTCGTTTCTCAAGGTGTGAAGCCAGATGGGAATTAAGAGCCCAGGAGGTGGGATGTGGGTGCGTGCAGGGGGCTGGCGTGGGTCGGCATGGGCCCCGGCTTGCGGCAGTGCTGCGGTGCTCAGCTTTGCGCCGGCTCTCGCAGCTGTGGATCACGGCGGCTGCACCTTCCAGCTGGTGGAGGAGAATGGGGTCGGGGACGGGAAGCCGGATTTCCTCTCCTTCTCCCCAGAGATGGTGGCAGAACAGTTCACCTTGATGGATGCTGTGAGTATTCATTCAACAGCCGGGTCGATGGTGCCCTGCCCGCCTGCTACCTGCTGCTCTGGGCACAGGCCTGTCTCTTCCCTTCCATCTTTTCCTGGGGGCCTGTTCCCTTCCCAGGGAACTCAGAGACCCATCTCCATCCCTTTATCTTCCAGGAGCTGTTTAAGAAAGTGGTGCCTTACCACTGCCTGGGCTGCATCTGGTCCCAGCGAGACAAGAAGGGCAAAGAGCACCTGGCGCCCACCATCCGTGCCACGGTCTCGCAGTTCAATAGCGTGGCCAACTGTGTCATCGTCACGTGTCTCGGGGACCGGTCCCTGAAACCGCAGCAGAGGGCTAAAGTGGTGGAGCGATGGATCGAAGTGGCTCGGGTAGGACAGCTCGCCGTCCCGCTCGCCTCCTGCCTCGGCCCAAGGGCTGAGGTTTTGTGGTGTGCGAATCCCAGCAGATCCCTGGGCTTCCTTTAACGCTGAGTCCTGTCATCTTCTTGTCTGCCCCCAGGAGTGCCGCATCCTGAAGAACTTCTCCTCCCTCCGAGCCATCCTCTCGGCTCTGCAGTGCAATGCCATTCACCGGCTGAAGAAGACCTGGGATGAGGTCCTACGGTAAGTGGGGTCTTCTGGGCTCCTGCGGCCACGGGGAGGTTTCAAGGGGGAGATTGTGCTGTGGCCGTGGCCCTTGAACATGTAGGTGGGATCATCTCAGCTCTAGCATTGCCTCTTGGAGTGTGCCCAAAGCCCAGGGACCAGTGTAAGGTGTCGGGGACCTAACGAGGGTGAGGAAATAAAAGCAGCATCACCTCCTCCTCCTTTCCATGCGAAACACCCTGGAATAGCCCCCGAACAGGCAGGCCCTGCTAGAGCTGTGAGCATTGTGGGGGTCCTTTGGGTGAGCAGAAGAGACCCCAAGGAGGAGACCCCAGGGTGGCACCATTGCTGACTTCCCCCCGTGTTTCTCCCTGAGCAGGGAGAGCGTCCGTACTTTCCACGAGCTCTCAGAGATCTTCTCCGACGAGAACAACCACTCGCTGAGCCGGGAGCTTCTCATTAAGGTATGGGGAAGCAGCACCCTGTCTCTGGCAGGGAGCTCGGGCTGATGCTGCCGAAGTTTCCGCCGTGTTCCAGGCACCAGGCTAAAGCCCTGGCAGCGCTGCTGGGGTTGCAGGCGTGGGTGCGGGCAGGGTGTGCTGGCCCTGGGGAGCAGGCATGGGTTTCGGACCAGGCTGGGCTTTCTGCTTCTCCACCCAAAAGTCGTCACCGCCTGAAGCTTGCAAAGCAATTCAGCAAGCAGAGATAAGCAGTGGGGTAGGACCCGGTGCACGGGGTGACGGCTTCTCCCCAGGGGCAGCTGCATTTTAACAGCCCAGTGCAAAGTCCTCTTGATTTCAGGTGGGGTTGTGGCGTTCGTGAAAGGCTGCAGCAAAAATGCCCTTCTTCCCCAGGGAGCCTCTCTGCAGCTTCCCAGCCTAGCTCCAGTTTGGGGGCTGAGAGGACACAAAATGCAAAAGGGAACAAAACATCCCATTAAGGAGCTATTTATACAGAGCTGGAAATGGAAGCGGCAGTTCCTATTCACTAAGCCGCTCCTCCCTGTGAGCCGTGAAAAAGCTCAGCTTTGATTTCCTCCTCTTTACTGTACCGATAAAAGCGGGTGTGAATTTTAGCTCAGCTGTTAGTGCAGTTTCCCACCTGCGCTGATCCCCACCTCTCCCCACCATCCAGGAGGGCACGTCCAAATTCGCCACCTTGGAGATCAACCCGAAGAGGGCTCAGAAGCGGCAGCAACAGCAGCGAGAGATGGTGAGTCTGGCAGAGCCGCCCCCGTGCCCCCTCCCCGGCAGCTGCCCGGGCTGGTCCTGGCTCTGCTGACCCTGGCTGTCCCTTGCTGTCCCCACAGGGTGTGATGCAGGGCACCATTCCCTACCTTGGCACCTTCCTCACGGACCTGGTGATGCTCGACACCGCCATGAAAGATTTCCTGGATGTATGTACCCCCTGCCTCCGCACAGCCACCCCAAAGCCTGGGCTGATAAATGGTGGGCTGGTCCCCGGTGTGTCCTGTGCCTGGCACTGCACTCTGTGCATCCTCTGTTGGACACTGCACCTTCTGCATCCTATATCCCACACTGCATCCCGCACATCCACCTCGGTCAGCCCATGGCAATCTCGGCAGGGATGCCCACAATGCAGTGGCAGCGAGCCTGGGGGGCAGAGAGGGATGGGAGCAATTTTTTTTTTCTGCCTGCTCCACTCTGACATTCGGCTCCTTCTTTTCCAGGGTGGGCTGATCAACTTTGAGAAGAGAAGGAAGGTGAGAGCTTTGCCCTGGCAGCAGCAGCACAGCAGGGTGGGAGGAGGAGGCTGACTTGGTGTAAGCCCAGGCTGTGCCAGTCACTTTGGGGTTGATTCCTCTACTTTTTTGCTGTCATGTTCTTTGGTTTTGGGGAGAGGGATTCTGGTCCTTCATCTCTGCCTCCATGCGTGGGGCTGGGCTGTTCATGGAGGAGGCTGGGGCTGGCAAACAGATCTGGTCTCACGGCCTTCGTTTGCTGCAGGAGTTCGAGGTCATCGCCCAGATCAAGCTGCTTCAGTCAGCCTGCAACAACTACAGCTTCACACAGGAGGACCAGTTCGTCGACTGGTTCCACAGCCTGGAGCGGCTCAGCGAGGCCGAGAGGTGAGTGTGAGCGGGG